TGGATGAAAGCAGGAGGGTAACAACACTCCTGCAGTATTGGGAGCTGGTGGGACTCTATTAAAGAGGGTCCTCTAAGAGAGCAGAAATTGTCAGGCTCAAAAGATTTCTTTTATTAACAATTATCTTGCACCAATGTAAAACTATAACTACATTTACAAGCAAAAAGGGAGCTATTTACACATTTAGTAATCAGATTTACATACACTTTATTAAAGAACTAAGCTATATTCCTCTTGACTTTTAACCAGAAAGTAGTCAGTTACTATGTTTTGGAAATGAAAAATTCCTCCTTTTATATTGACTGATGCAGAAGACATAAACGAACCACCTAAGAAATATTTTTGAGAGCTATCTAAACTGCCTAAAGCCAGGTTCACACGCGTTCCCAACCTGCAGGCAAAACATGCTGTTCTTTAACTGGTGTGCGTGATTGCCATTAATTCTTAATGGCATACCCAGGCATCAAGAAATACTGTATTTTCGAGTGCACAAAATTGCATGGTGCACCATGAGGTTCTGTACAACCGTGGCATGCAGGATCCATACAAGTGTGAACCTAGACTGAGACTTTTGGACATTACTGTTGCATAAAAGCTGCAGTCCACCTCAAGTGATCATTTTTTTTTTTAAATCTCAGTGTTCACTGCAAAAGTCAAATAAAGACAAATTTCTCTACTGAAAGTAATGAAATCTTTAAACATGTTTTAAAAAATGTGGGACATTATTATAGATGTGTAGTGGACTATATTTCATACATCCAGAGTGTTTTGTTCTAGTTACATTGTTTTTGCAATGTGTAATCTTGTTAATGACCACAATAATACAAACAAAATATGATCTCCTACAAAGCTTCTTCTACTGTTATTAGGAACTGCGGCATGCATTGAACACCTAGGTTTGGAAACATGATCTCTGAATGTCTAATTACCCTCTGCTTGGGATTTGTAAATTCCAAGGACCATAGTATGCAATAAGCAAGAATACAAAGGTTCTTGTTTCTAGCATGCAAAGTTGGGTAAAACGCACATAACAGTAAAGTCCAAATGGCTCTCCTGTAATACCTTCTATGAGGACTGGAAAGACATTTGGTCCTCCTACCTATCAGTTTTGTCATCCAACTAAATGTTGTATATTAAGCCTATTTACCACCACCACCCCACCTAAAATAAATGGAACGAATACCCATTACAAATTGTCTGAGATGTACACAAGCTTGGGAGGATTTTGTTTGTTTGATTTGGCCCTGCAGTCTGATGTCTACCTACTGGAAAGAAGTAGTCACCATGTTTACTTATCACAATGTCCTGCACATATGTCACACATCCCAGGAGGCTGCAGGACCAGTCTGACAGCGCTGCACCATATCGAGCATGTGCAAAGGGGAGGAGGCTGTGATAGGAAGTTGTAGCCAGATCCAACATCTAAGATGGCGGTACATGGGATCTGAAGCCCACTGAAGACGGGACTGGACTCCACAAGCTGTTGTCTGTTTCTTTAAAAGTCAAAAGCTAAAGTATTTTGTAAGCTGTTGACTGGTATTTTTTTTTAAAAATCAACTAAAGTTTCTATGGTTGAACTGGATGGACTTTTGTCTTTTTTTCAGCCAGACTAACTATGTAACTAAAAGTGTCTCTTTAAACATCCAAAACTTTGTGGGGGCTTGGAGTAAATCCGTTCTTACTTTTAACAGTGCTGAGATACATTGATTACTATCCTTTGGATGCCCAGAAAGTAAATAACCTGCCCTAAGTGTACTATAAAAGATATGTCACCTGAAGTGTTGTGATTGCTTTTGACTGCAAGACGTAAAACGAGCAGCAAAGTGGCTAAATGGTTAGCACTTCTGCCTAGCAGTACTAGGGTAGTTGGTTTGAATCCCAACTCTGTGCCTGCATGTGTTTTCTCCAGGTACATCGGTTTCCTTCCACACGGCAAAGACATGCTGGTAGGTTAATTGGCTCCTGTCTAAATTGGCCCTAGTATGTGTATGTATGAAAGGAAGTTAGGGACCTTAGATTGTAAGCTCCTTGAGGGCAAGACTGATGTGAATGTACAACATATAAACTATATTGCCATAAGTATTGGAACACCTGCCTTTACACATGCATGAACTTTAATGGCATCCAGTCTTATTCCGTAGAGTTCAATATTGAGTTGGCCCACCATTTGCAGCTATAACACCTTCAACTCTTCTGGGAAGACTGTCCACAAGGTTTAGGAGTGTGTCTATGAGAATGTTTGACCATTCTTAAAGAAGCGCATTTGTAAGGTCAGGCCTTGATGTCGGATGGGAAGGCCTGGCTTGCAGTCTGCGCTCTAATTCATCCCAAAGGCCAGTCAAGTTCCTCTACCCCAAACTCACTCCTTCATGTCTTTATGGACCTTGCTTTGTGCACTGTCATGTTGGAACAGGAAGGGGCCATCCCCAAACTGTTCCCACAAAGTTGGGAGCATGAAATTGTCTTAGTCTGCTAACGCCTTAAGAGTTCCCTTCACTAAGGGTCGAGCCCAACCCCTGAAAAACAACCCCAAATCATAATCCCCCCTCACCAATCTTTACACTTGGCACAATGCAGTCAGGCAAGTACAGTTCTCCTGGCAACTGCCAAACCCAGACACACAAGTGTGATTTGTCACTCCAGAGAACATGTCTCCACTGCACTAGAGTCCAGTGGCAGTGTGCTTTACACCACTGCATTCGATGCTTTGCATTTGGTGATGTAAGGCTTGGATGCAGCTGCTCCACCATGGAAACCCATTCCATGAAGCTCTCTACACACTGTTGTGCTAATCTGAAGGCCACACAAAGTTTGGAGGTATTTAGCTATTGACTCTGCAGAGAGTTGGCAACTTCTGTGCTCTTCAGCATGCACTGATCCTGCTCTGTCATTTTATGTGGTCTACTGCTTTGTGGCTGAAGTTCCCAGTTGCTATCACTTTGTTATATTACCACTAATTTGTATCTATCTATCCATTCAGTCGTATCTGACCCTTGGCGATTGCATGGACCGTAACTCGTAAGCAACTTTTTCCATGAATTCTCTTAGCAATTATTTTACAGGGTAGGTTGCCAGGTCTTTCCCCAACCCCTACCATGCAGGAGATCCCACGTGGCCAGGGATGAAACTAGGACAATTTAGACAGGAGCCAATTAACCTACCAGCATGTGTTTGGAGTGTGGGAGGAAACCAGAGTACCCAGAGGAAACCCACACGAACACAGGGAGAACATGCAAACTCCATTCAGGAGGCGCCATGGTTGGGAATTGAACCCATGACCCAATTACTGCAAGGCAGAAGTGCTAACCACTAAGCCACTGTGCCGCCCTACCACTAACTTAACCATGGAATATTTAGTCACAAGGAAATTTCACGGCTGGACTTATTGCACAGGTGGCAACCTATCACAGTACCACGCTTGAATTTACTGAGCTCCTGAGAGTGACCCATTCTATTACAAATATTTGTAGAAGTAGTCTGCATGTCTAGGTGCTTGATTTTATACACCTGTAGCCATGGAGGTGATTGGAACACCTAAATCCAATGATTTGGAGGGGTGCCCAATACTTTTGGCAATATAGTGTATATATGTAAAGTGCAGGGGCGGACTGACCATTTGGAAACCCGGGCACTGCCCGAGGACCCGGGGTCAGTAGGGGCCCCCATGAGATGCCCCTGGTATCTTTTTCATAGGCTTTTTTGAGTTTGGGCAAGGACAGAGGGCCCCATGATCCCCTATTGCCCGGGGACCCCGTGAGTTGTCAGTCCGCCCCTGGTGAAGCGCTGTGTAAATTGACAGCGCTATATAAATACCTGTAATAAATAAATCAACGAGAGTTTGTGTAGTCCATTTTATTATTTTGTTAATTTCTGTGAAGGAAACCATTTCTACAAGTGTTCAATTGACAGTCCTATACAAGTACCTTGTATGCAATTAACAGAGTTTAAAAGAAAATAACACAGTTAATTCTTGTGATTATCAATGCACTGGGGTATGTCTAAGAAAACATGTTTTTTTTTGCAAAGTAGATTAAACTCAATTACTGTAATTCCAATTGTTACACCTCATGCACACAGACAGGTGTAAAATATGACCAATGTAAAATTTCCAGCATATTTCTGCACTTGATGTGCTGCAGGTGGGACGTAGAAACTTGGCTATAGAAACTAGTGTCTGTAGGCCCATATACTTGTGTGAATACCAATGCTTCTGTGCATTAGTGTTTAGCCGTGAATACATGTACAACATATTTCCAGTTCTGAAAATACATCCTACACAGATCTAAAAGTGCTAGTAGTTTTATGACATTTCCACAACAGAAAAAAGCAGTAGATAAAATAGGATGCATTTACAGAACAGAAAACATATCATATTGCAAACTCCTGCAGAAACCTGATTGAGCAGGACAAAGGAATGCCATCCACGAGTACAAACTTGAAAGCAACTTAGTAATAAAAGACAGAACCAAATAAAGAGACTGGGGAGGGGAGACACGGGACAAAGGAGGGAGACAAATGGACAGCAGAGATTTCACTTATATGGTATCTTCAGCAACATGGCATGTGCATGGGACTTTCAGTTTCGTGTCCTGCTGCTTGGGGACTCTGGAGTTGGGAAGACTTCTCTCTTACGGAGATATACTAATGATGAATTTTCAGAGGCAACCGGACCCACAGTAGGGGTAGACTTTTGTTGTCGGATAGAAGAACCCGAGGATGGAGTTAAAGTCAGACTACAGTTCTGGGATACAGCTGGCCAGGAGCGATATCGGTGAGCCAAATGTTGTGTATGTGAAGCTATCAAAGTGGAACTCCAGACAAGCAGCTACATATACAGATATTTCATATATGTGGGCCCTTTAATCCTGTCAAAGGATTTGCTTTTCTGTCCATACGTTTCTGAGGTTAACCATCCACAAAGCTTATTTCTGTCTGGCAAGGCATGAGACTTGATTTCTTTTCTGCTACAGTTTAGTGACACTTACAGATCTTGTTCCTACCCCACCCAGTGACTGGAGACTCTAAGGCCCTGGTGCCCAGCCTGCAGCCCTTTGGTGTATGATATGTGTTCCTCAGAGCCAGGGGTGGACTGACAACTCATGGGGCCCCCGGGCAATAGGGGATCATGGGGCCCCTGTGTCCTTGCCCAAACTCAAAAAAGCCTATGCAAAAGGTACCAGGGGCATCTCATGGGGCCCCCTACTGACCCCGGGCCCTCGGGCAGTGCCCGAGTTTCCAAATGGTCAGTCCGCCCCTGCTCAGAGCTCAGCAGTTTGTAGTGGGAACATTGATCAGGGTATTGGCATTGGTCACTATTAGCTTCATGTAACGTGTTCCCAGTTTCATATTGTCTTTTGCACCCATCTGCACCCAACAAATTTAGCATGTCCACACTCTCTGACCCTCATTTCCTCTATTAGCTCTGTAGTTTCTAACAGTCCTTTCAAGCATTACATATTATGTGCAGCCTTTGGGTAATGTCAGGGGCCCCATTTGAGGTCTCCTTTAGCTCATAAGTTGACATCCACTGCTCTAGCATACTGATGAGCTTATCATTTGAGTACTCTGTTCTCTCCTTCTATCAGCATGTTCCTTGCACTGCAACACAACTGAATGGTTGATAGTGCTGCCTCTCCATACTCCCAGTCTGAACTCTGCTGTACAGGTACTGCAAGATGCTGATACTAAGGGCTCGTTCACACTTGACTTTATTTCTAACTATTGCCAAACGGCCCTATAGCTTTTGACAGGCGTTTAGGAAGCGTTTTTAACGCTCCTCAAATACTCCACAAACGCCCTATGACCGGTTTTGAGGCATTTGATAGGTGTTTGGCAAGCATTAAAACTGCACCACAAACGCCTATAATGAAGTTAAATGGTATTAACGCTTTGCAAACGCCTTGCAACCGCATTGCAATCGTCTGCCAGGTGTTTGAGGAGCAGCACCATAGACCTGAATGGGAGGCTTCAACTCCTCTTGACTTGACATGAGGTGTCAGTTTTGCCGCGACGCAGCGCTAATGCTTCAGTGTGAACACCACTGTGTGCTGCCATGTGCAGAATTTTCATAGATGTTTGAGAAGCGTAAAAAAAGCTTCCCAAAACCTGTCTGACGCCTGCTGACAAAGCTAGTGTGAACGTAGCCTAATTCAAATATTCTTAGGGCTCTTGGACAGGAGTGGCTGAGCCTATTCAGTGTAATTATTGGTGTTTTTCTTCTACATGGGCAGCTCAGATGCAGCATACAATCTCTTATTGACATGAACTGCTGTGTGCTGCTGACTGATGTTTACAGCGGTGCTATAGTAAACATAAGTTCAGCAAACAGGCGTATGCAAAAAAAAAAAATTGTTTTTTTTTTTTTTTTTTTTGCATGTACCCATACTCTGTTCTTATGTTTAGGATAGCACTCACACTTGCCGTATATTTTCTCATTTGCAATTTCTAATAAATATTGTAGTTGGTTGTCCTCATGTTGCCTTACTTTACGTTTTAAACACACCAATGTGCTGGTGCCTGTACTTTGCCGCAATGTGGTCTCTGTTTTACAGTGCAATAAAACATTTTTTTCCTAAGGCCCCTTTCACACGAAGGGTCCCATCACATCTGCCTTTCGGTTTTTCAGTTGGACCTGATTGGATGGTCCATCCAGGGGCAGACTGACAACTCATGGGGCCCCTGTATCCTTGCCCAAACTCAAAAAAGCCTATGAAAAAGGTACAAGGGGCATCTCATGGGGCCCCCTACTGACCCCGGGCCCTCAGGCAGTGCCCGAGTTTCCAAATGGTCAGTTCGCTCCTGGGTCCATCAATCTCTATGGACTGGCAGGTGTAAATAACCTTGTGACCATTTACATCCGCCTACCTCCAATCCGATCCAGTCTGCTGAGAGAAAATGGAAGGGGTTCTGTCCCCCTCTGTCTAGGTGGATCGGAGGGCAATTGGGTGTAAATGGACAACAGAGTCCTTTTACACCCACTGGTCCATGGAGCAGAGCAGGCTTGGTCTGTGTCCGCTCTGCATAAACTGAGCAGACATGGACCTGTCATCTGCCATCTCTACTCGTTTACATAGGGGATCAGCGGATAGATCCCCTGCTGATCAAAACAAGATCCACCCCTTGTGAAAGGGGCCTTATTCCTTACTAGAGAAGAGGATGCTGCAAATGCTACAGACTGCACAAAAGCAATGATGAGCTTTGGTCAATGTGTGAAATGAAATGTAAAGAAAGCCAAGTATTAACAGTATTATTATTCTACAGGATTCATTTACGGCCAACAGTTTGCACAGCGCTTTACAAAATGAGGGCAGTCAGTACAGTTACAATACAATTCAACAGAAGAGGAGTCAGGGGGCTCTGCTCCTTAGAGCTTACAATCTACATTGGGGGTCACTTAATATGGGAAACAAAGCAGTAATCCACAGAAAGTCTCTCACTGTTCTGACTGCTGGAAACTGGTAGAATCTATTCCCCTTGTTCTGGGATATGACTCAGCTGTGCTCCCTGCAGACTTTTTCTAAAGGCCTTTAAAAGTCCCTAGTGGGGGGGGGGTGTATTCATCAAAGTCCTACTGTGCTCATTAACAGGGCACAACAAAGATATGTACATAAAAACACTAGTTGTTAAGAGCCATACAAGTATTAAAAGGACCTGTATAGACTGACATACTGTATGGGGGGGGGGGGGGGGGAACATGTTTTTGCAGGTGTACTCTTCATCCTACCATCCTTTTTTTTTTTTCTTTTTTTTTTTTTTTTTTATTCATGATCACCTCCTTCTTCAATGACCTCTACCTCCTTTTTCTGGGTCTTTTACTCACAGGTAGTTTTTTTGTTTGGGGTTTTTTTTTAATACATGTACAATAGAGATTGTCTTAATGTAAATTATATTATCAATGTGTGCTGATGTTAAAAAAAAAAAAAAGTTAAGGTGGCCATACACTGGTGGTTTGACTTATCAAATGTTTTTTTTAAAGTAATTAAAACTTTTGTTTTGCTGTTAACATTCGATTTTGGATTGACTAGACTTTCCTGAACCAAAACCACATTCATAATTAGTTACCTGTTACCGCAATGTCCAGGAATCTTACAGTACAGCACATAAGAGGTTCAACCCACTTAAGGTCCGTTTCACACGAGTGGACCGATGGGGTCTGCCTGTCCATTTTCCAGGTGGACCCGATCGATCCATCCATAGACTTCTATGGACCAGTGGGTGTCAGTGGGCAATAGTCCACTGACACCCGCCAGCCTCCGATCCGATGCTGTACGCCAAAAAGAGACAGGTGGGGATCCATCCCCCATCCATCCAACAGATCAGACCGGATGACAATCGGGTGGAAACGGACAGGCAGTCTGTTTCTATTGAACCATCCCATTGAAATCAGCGGGCAGTGTTTTTGGCTGCTCTGCAGTAGTAGAGTGGACAGAGACCTGTCATCTGCCTTCTCAGTGGTGATGAGCGGAGAGATCCCCCGCTGAGCAGGCAGATCACACTGACAGATCCGCCCCGTCTGAAAGGGGCGGGGCCTTAAACAGAAAAAATATCACCCAAAATCAATAAAAGAGCACAGACACCTCAGCTTTAAAGTAGAAGAAAAATCAATGCAATCACGTACCTTTTGATGGTTGCCTTCCTGCTGCACTTGCATTTCTTGCTTACAGTTTGCTTGAAGCAAAATGGAAGATACTGCATATAGTTGCTTACAGTTTCTAATAAATCTTTTTCTTTTTTTTTTTAGTAATCTTTTCTTTTTTCTTTTTTTTTTACTTTTTTCAAGTGGTCATGTGACTGCAAAGTGTGTTTACTGTGGAGAGCTATCAACATTGAATCTTTAGAACAGTGATGTCATCCACTGACAGCCATAGCTCTAAGGCGTTGTGGGCCCTAAAAGAATTCATGCCCACCAGCCACACAGACAAATTTGCTGGAGCTTTACGGTCATGTGACTGCTTGGAAAACATTGAAATAACAAATGGTATTTACATTGAGATATATAAAAAACTGTTCGCAGAAATTGTAAGAGCAGGGAGGAGGCAACATTTAAACAATAAGTCCACCTTTTGACCAAAAATGAATAAATGCACATTTTTTTTGCAGGTAAAATTTATTATTTTTGGTTGCAGGAGCCTGTAAAGCATTGCACCAATGATCAGCAGATCACTGATGCCATGCAGGTCTGCTGTAGATCTGTCAGTATATCTGCTTGCCAGTACGGGATGGCAATAGAAACACACGGCACAGCCCCTTAGTCTAGAATGCCATGGCATTGTCTGCTGCTCCCTCCTTCTCCTCTCTTTCTTCTCCAAACTAACATATTGCCGTGGGACTGCACTTACCTTTGTAAACTCTTTCCTGTGAAGACTGGAAGTTCAGGGACACAGCACAGAGAGAGCTGGAGGCAGCAGCATTGAAAGCTGTAAACTGCATGTCCTGGGCAGGGGCGGACTGACCATTTGGAAAATCGGGCACTGCCAGAGAGCCCGGGGTCAGTAGGGGGCCCCATGAGATGCCCCTGGTACCTTTTTCATAGGCTTTTTTGAGTTTGGGCAAGGATACAGGGGCCCCATGATCCCCTATTGCCTGGGGGCCCCATGAGTTGTCAGTCCGCCCCTGGTCCTGGGGTAAGAATTTGAACAAATAGTTTACTTGGGAATATTTTCTTTTTTTGTGCTCAATGTGGTCAATTAAAACAGCTCAGGGTTTGATACTACACTGCTCAAAAAAAATTAAAGGAACACACTGACAACACATCAGATCTCAATGGGGAAAAATATGCTGGATATCTATATCGATATGGATTGAGTAATGTGTTAGGAACGTAAGGATGCCCCATCGTTTGATGGAAATTAAAATCAACTTACAAAGGACTGAATTCAAAGACACCCTGAAAATCAAAGTAAAAAAATTATGCAGCAGGCTAGTCCATTTTGCTGAAATTTCATTGCAGCAACTCAGAATGGTACTCAGTAGTTTGTATGGTCCCCACGTGCTTGTATGCATTCCTGACAACGTTGGGGCATGCTCCTAATGAGACGATGGATGGTGTCCTGAGCTGAGCTCCTAGACAGTCTGAGGTGCAACCTAGCATCGTCGGATGGATCAAAACATGATATCCCAGAGGTGTTCTATTGGATTTGGGTCAGGAGAGCATGGGGGGCATTCAGTGGTATCAATTCCTTCATCCTCCAGGAACTGCCTGCATACTCTCGCCGCATGAGGCCAGACATTGTCGTGCACCAGGAGGAACCCAGGACCCAC